GAGACAGAGAATCCCAAGCAGGCTCCGGTGCAGAGCCCGACTCAGACAGAGCTCAATCCCACAAACCGTGAGCTCATGACCTGAGCTGAAATCAAGAGTCTTGATGCTCAACTGACTGAGCCACCCCGAGGCCCGTGTGTCTGATATCTTTAGTTTGACACTGTGTTTTCAAGGCTCATCCATGTCAGTACTTCCCTCCTTTTTCTGGCGAATGTTCCACTGTTTGGAGGTCTTAGTAGCTCACGAAGCTATGACAAACCACCATAGATGGGGGGATTAAAGCGCAGACCTGACGACAAACAACATTCTACTCTCAACATTCTCCTCCTGGCCCCTCCCCCAACTCATGTTCTTATCGCATGCAAAATACATTCATTCCTTCTCAAAAGCCCCCAAATTCTTAACTCCTGGCATCAACTGCAAAGTCTGAAGTCCAAAGTCTCATCTAAACATCATCTTAATCAGACACAGGTGAGATTTGTGGTATGATTCATCCAGAGGCAAAATTCCTCTCCAGCTATGAACCTGTAAAATCAGATAAGTTTTGGGTTTCCAAAACCCATAGTGGTGGGCAGGCACAGGATAGACATTTCTATTCCCAAAGGGAGAAATCAGAAAGAAGAAAGGGGGACGGCACCTGGGGGGCTCAGTCTGTTCAAACTCTTGGTTTTGGCTCGGGCTGTGATCTCAGAGTTCTTAGGATCAAGTCCTGCATCAGGCTCTGTGCTGGTGGCTCAGAGCCTGCTTGGGATTCTCTCCCCCCCACCCCCATCCCTTCCTTGTTTGTGCTCTCTCTCTCTCTCAAAATAAATAAATAAACTTAAAAAAGAAGAAGAAGAAGAGTGGCACCTGGGTGGCTCAGTCAGTTAAGCATCTGACTCTTGGTTTTGGCTCAGGTCATGATCTCACAGTTCGTGGGATGGAGCCCCACATTGGGCTTGTTGCTGACAGTGGGGACCCTGCTTGGGATTCTTTCTCTCTCTCTCTCTGCCCTCCCCCATGCTTGCCCTCTCTTTCTCACTCTCTCTCTCAAAATAAATAAACTTTAAAAAAAATACTTAAAAAAAGAAGAAAGTGGTGGGGCGCCTGGGTGGCTCAGTTGGTTAAGTGTCGGACTTCGGCTCAGGTCATGATCTCACAGTTTGTGGGTTTGAGCCCCGTGTCAGGCTCTGTGCTGACAGCTCAGAGCCTGGGGCCTGCTTCGGACTCTGTGCCTCCCTCTCTCTCTGCCCCTCCCCTGCTTGTGCTCTGTCTCTCTCTCTCTCTCTCTCTCTCTCAAAAATAAAAAACATTAAAAAAAATGTTTTCAAAGAGTCATATGGTCTAAGGACTGAACCATTCTTCCTTTTTCTTCAACAGCGCATGTTCACAGCTGAATAGCAGTATGACCTGGTCCTGTAGGATCTCAGAACTCCGACCGCCTTCCTTCCTGTGGCCCTGCTTCCTCTGTCCCTTTAGTTCCAACGGTCAGTGTCTCTGCTGGTATAATCCTCTCTTTCTGACCTCTGTTGAGATGGCTGATTAGGTCCGTGGTTCACACTCAAGCTAACCTTGTCAAACGGTCAGCCGGCCACATCCTTGATGTTTTCTTTTTATTAAACGCCTTTCTGGGTTTTCTTGCCACATGGACAGGCTGAGAACTGTCCAAATCTTCAGGCTCCGGTTCCTTCTTATCTAGCGATCCTCCTTCACTGCCTTTCTCTCCCCTTGCATTTAATCCCGCTCAGCGGTCAGGGGGAACCAAGCCTTCCTCAAAGCACCGGAACACCAAGACACCAAGCAGAGGGGAGGCAGAGAGAGAATCCCAAGCAGGCTTCAAAGTGTCAATGCAGAGCCCTGCTCGGGCTCGAACTCACACCATATGGCCGAGTCCTGTGCCGCTTTATCACAACGATTGCCTTTTCCCCACTGTCCGAAAACACGTTCCCCATTTCCGTCTGAGAACTCATCGGAGCGGCCTTCGCCACGCCTCCTTCTGCCAACGTTTTGCTCGTGAGAAGGTGGGCGCTTTCTCCCTCCCTCCCGAGCCTTCATCGGAACCGCTTTGAGCAGTCTCTTCTCTGCAGTCTGGGCTGCTTCTCGCTGCGCCTCAAAACCCTCCCAGCTTCTTCCCGTGACTGTTTCTGCTTTTGTCGGTGTGCGTGGCAGCCGCGTCCCCCTTATCGGGACCCATCTCTGCCTTGGGCGGCTCGGACTGCTGGAGCCAAATGCCATAGGCTGGGAGGATTTAAACCACAGACATTTTATGCCTCCCGGTTTGGGGAGCCGGGAAGTCCAAGATCAAGGTGGCAGATTTCGGTTCCTCGCGAAAGCCTGCTTCCTGGCTTGCGGACAGCAGCCTTTTGGCTTTTCATCGCCTCTGAGATTCGCTGTGACACAAAATATGTGGAGTTTCCCCAGTAACCGATTCTCTCATTCTCCGGGGTGCGGCAATTCAACTCATTTCTGACGTTATCTACCTGGAGTGAGCACCAAACCCGCCACGTTCAAGGGCTCAGTCCTATGAGACTGCCTCTACTTCCGAGGCCAACCACAAACGGGGTGCCCAGGCTGCCTACACTTTGCCCAGATGACTCCAAATTTGGAGGGTCCCGTGACAGCTGCCTCCGGTTGGGTTATGTGCTGCTAGAGTGACTCACAGAACTCGGGAAAGCGCTCCCCTTCCTATTACTGGTTTAGTAGAAATAAAATGACTCAGGGACAGCCAGATAGAGTTGATGCTCAGGGCTGGGTACTGGGTGGGGGGGGGGGGCGGGTGGGAAAGGGAGGTGGGGGACGGTGGGGCAGGTTGGCAGTTTCCACATCCTCCCCACGTGTATCACCCTCTCAGTACCTTCACGCGTTCACCAATCAGGACACTCTCACGGTTCAAGAGTTTTTACAGAGCTCAATCTCCAGTCCCCCACCTACTCCTGGGATTTGGTGGGTGGGACAGAGGGTTTCCAGCCTCCGGGAGCTGCCCCCATCCCCAAGCTATCTCTGGGACCCACCCCAAGCCACTTCATTAGCATAAACTTAGGTGTGCTCCAAAGGGACTCCTTTAGGAATGATGGTAGAGACTCCTATCATTCAGGAAATACCAAGGTTTTAGGGACTCTGTTCCAGGAGCCAGTGATAAAGACCAAATATATATTTTTATATCTCACTGCTTTAAGCTCATTCTGGAAAGACGTTTTGGAACAGAGACAGGGAAAATAGAGGGACCCCGTGAAAAACTGCTTTTTTCACTCCTTTTCCTACTTCTTTTCTCGCTCAGACTTAACCCCCACCTTACACACGCCTTGTAAAAGTCAAGAATTTAACAATTTCTTTAGAGTCTTACAGCACAATAGATAACATCTGGAGACTGACCGGGCAGCCTTGTCACCAACACTTTCCAGACCACTGACTCACTAAGATCCCTGGATTCAGGGCACACGTGACTTCGGGCAAGTACCTAAAACTTGTCTTTGTTTCTGGATGCCTGAGAAGACACGTCACCGCACCGCAATCCTCAATAGAAACCCTGGATCCCAAGCAAAGACGAGACTCACTCTTTTTCTTTCTGAGTCTCTCGGATGCTCTGTCCATAGCTGCGCTCTCTGTTTATCTTTAATAAACTCTGCTGTCCCTTCCTCTTGGCTCGTGTTTGGTTTCTCTCCTGTGCAAAACCAAGGACTCTCTTGGCTGCCCCCACAGGATCCTCCTCTGGGTCCTTGGACCCAGCCAGCTTGCATCAGAACCGTTCAGTAAAACGAGGAAGAAATGGAATAAATATGTGAAGGATCTCTGTCGCTTTAAAATGCAAGAGGCTACCCTCATGGTGTTTTACCGCAGTTAACTATTAGAAGCGTTTTGTCCCAATTGCTTAGGCTGAACTCGATTCAGCAGACATTCAAAGAGGCTCACTAGGTTTAGAGAATATGCAACCAAAGCCATGAAAAATGAATGATGAATTCAATAGAAATTATTTTGACCTTAAGGAGTGAATTATAACCAAAAAAAAAATATTTTTTAAGTCATACCAAAAGCAGTAATTCATCATGACAATTCATTTCGAATAAGTGTAATGAAACTGTTCTTGAATTGATAATCCAATTAAGGACAAGAAATGAATGAAAAGATTTAAATTTGTGTTAATTTGCATAAAATATGCCACTGGATATGAAACATAATACGTCACTGGGGTGCCTGGGTGGCTCAGTCGGTTAAGCGTCTGACTTCAGCTCAGGTCATGATCTCGCGGTTCATGGGTTCGAGCCCCGCATCGGGCTCTGTGCTGACAGCTCGGAGCCTGGAGCCTGCTTCGGATTCTGTGTCTCCCTCTCTCCCTCGCTGCCCCTCCCCCACTCGTGCTCTCTCAAAAATAAAAAAACATTAAAAAAATTAAAATAGCAAGCTAGTATTTATTTAGCCACTTATTTCTCAGAAAAAGCTGTCTCGGAAACCACTGAGGGGGATGATGGGACTTTCTTTTGCTAGGAAGGTATCTGTTCGGTGCTACTGAAGTTAACTCTACCCAAGCTCCAGCTGTGAAATGTGTGACCGGTGACAGAGACTAAGTCACATAGTGCTTTTCGTTGTCCCTGCATGTGGTCCAAGGCGATCTAATCTGAGTGAGTTTCAGGATTCTAGCTGGGAATGATGGGACAAATGGTCAGTCTTCCTCGCAAGGCTTGGGTGAGGAAATATGCCCCATCCTCGGAGCCACCTGAACACCCCGAACGAAGCCGGCCAGAAGAGGAAGGAGACAATGCAGAAAGCAGAGAGAGAGAGAACCACGAAGAAACCGGAGTCTGCTGTTCGGCCTCCTGAACAAAGCTGACCTCAAAGTCTACTTCTGGACTTTGTGGTGATGTAAATCAATAACATCCATTTTTTGTTGAAGCCAGTTCGAGGTGTGCTTTTCTTTTGCACAGAAGCTGTCCTAAAAACTAAACACAGTGCACTAGGAGAGAAGCACCTGGGAATTCCCAAGCATTATTGAATATAAATTGTGAAAAATAGGCAAGAACTGATTCTCATTTTTCCTGGCCTCTTTGCCTCAGTTTGTATTACCCAGATATTGATAAGGATAATGATTATGATAAAAATACTTGTATGTTCTCAATACAGGAATCCAAATATGACCAAACAAATAAAATCCTTTAAGCCGGGCTTCCACTCCTTGGGTTTAAGCAATCATCCTCTGCCAATGGGAAGAGACCCAAAACCCAGTGTTCGTGGTAAGTGGTATCCCTATTTTACAGATGAGGGACACTGAGTTACAGAGAGGGTAAGTGATTTCCTAGGAGGGTCACGAGGTTGGGTAGGGACAGAGCCGAGAGTAGAACCATAGGCTTGAACCTCTGTACTAAACGTCTTCTGGACTGCTGATTGGTTTCATGTCCTCATATTGGTGGGCGGTATTAATGTCCTTTGATGTAGATTCTCAGATCTTTCCACTGTAGACACTAGGAATCCACAAGACTGGAGAAGGGGCAGGCATAATTCACGTTCAAAAGTACGAACGTCTCAAAAAAAAAAAAAAAAAAGGAAAGAAAAAGTGAGCACCTCAGCTAAGTACACATACCTTTGGTAGATCACTACCAATGGGTCTGAATGGAGAAGGGTATGATGTACAGAGAAAGGCTGAAAAGTGCTATTCACTAAAAGAAAGGTTGAAAACATAGGCAATAATAACAATAATAATAATAATAATAAAACACTTATATAATGCTTACCATGTAGGGGTCAAGCCAATTTCTAAGTACTTTACAGAGGTCAGCACACTTAATTTTCACAACATATGAAATAGCTACTATTGTTACTCCCATTTTATAGATGAGGAAATTTTGACCCTGCAGTATTGTGATTTGTAAGAAATATATATCTGGTCATACAGATGACCAAAATAGTTTTTGGGTTTTTTTTTTTAATTTATTTTGAGAGAGAGTAAAAAAAGCATGAGCATGGGAGGGGCAGAGAGAGAGGGAGAGAGAGAATCCAAACAGGTTCCATGCTCAGCACGGAGCCTGACGTGGGGCTTGATCTCATGAACCCAACCCTGAGACCATGACCTGAGCTGAAATCAAAAGTCACGCTGTCAACGGGCTAAGTCACCCAGGTGCCCCCAAAATAGTTTTCTTATGTATATTTGGTCTTCATTTACAGATCCTGGCTCACACCTCTCCAAACCCTTGAAATTTCCTGAGTGTCGAGTGGGATAAATGTGTCTTTTTGTTGCATTAAGGAAGGTGACATTTGGACCTCACCCAAGGTGACCAACCGCGTGATAGGAGGGTTGGAAATTTCAGCCCCACTCTCCACCTCCAGGAAGGAGAGAGAGCCTGGAGGTTGAATCAGCCAATTAGTCAATCCTGACTTTGCAAGAGAGCTTCCATAAAAATCCCAAAGGACCGGCTTTGGAGAGCTTCTGGGTTGAACACACGGAGAGTAGAGGGAATGGTCCTCCTGGAGAGGGCAGGGAAGCTCTGTGCCCTTCCCCCAGACCTCACCCTGTGCATCTCCTCATTTGGCTGCCGATTCATGTCCTTTATGATATCCTTTCATAAACTGATAAACATGTTTCCCTGAGTTCTGGGAGCTGCTCTGGCAAATTAAAGGCACTTAAAGAGGAGGTCAGTGGAACTTCCTATCTGTAGCTGGTTGGGCCAGAGGCACAGGTAACAGCCTAGGGCTTGCAATCGGCATCTGGAGTGTTGCGGCGAAGGTGCGGGGGGCAGTGTTGAAGGACTGAGCCCTTAACCTGTGGGATCTGATGCTATCTCTGGTGGATGGTGTCAGAATGGACTTGAATTCTCAGACTGGTGTCAGAATTGCTGGGGGCTGTGCGTGTGGGAAGACCCCCTCCTACATCAGGATTGGGTCCGGGAACCCAAAGAGAGACACAGATTGTCTTACATGAAATATCGTGCTCAAGGTCACCGTTCATAAAATGGGCAAGTCAATCTGAAATCGGATGACCTGGCTCCAGAGTGTATATTCGGAATCTTATTCGGAACATACTTAGTATGTTCCTCGTGATGAATCATTTCACCTTGGGTCAACCCTACTGCTTTATAAAATGTTGTACCTTTTTTTTTTTTTTAATGTTTTTATTTATTTTTGAGACAGAGAGAGACAGAGCATGAGCAGGGGAGGGGCAGAGAGAGAGAGAGAGAGAGTGAGACACAGAATCCCAAGCAGGCTCCAGGCTCCGAGCTGTCAGCACAGAGCCCGACGCGGGGCTCGAACTCACAGACTGTGAGATCGTGACCTGAGCCGAAGTCAGACGCTTGACCGACTGAGCCACCCAGGCACCCCTAAAATGTTGTACCTTTATTCCTCACGTATGTTTCACCTTTTTCTTCTGCTATTTTGGCCACTAGAACACCAGGAAGACGTTTTTTTAAAGTTTATTTTGAGAGAGAGAGAGAGAGAGAGAGAGAGACAGAGTGCGCACACGTGAGTGGGGGAGGGGCAGAGAGAGATGGAGAGAGAATCCCAAGCAGGCTCTGTGCTGTTAGCACAGAGTGCCACATGGGGCTTGAACTCATGAACCAGGAGATCATGGCCTGAACTGAAGTCGGGCACTTAACTGAGCCACCCGGGTGCCCCAGAAATGATTTCCATAGAGAAAACTTCTCTTTCTTCCCTTCCTTCTTTCTTTCCTTCCTTCCTTCCTTCCTCCCTTCATTTGTTGCTGGGCTCCGTGCCCAACATGGGGCTCAAACTCATCACCCTGAGATCAAGTGCCACGGGCCCTACTGACGGAGCCAGCCAGGCACCCTGAGAAAACTTTTCAATTCTTCATTTCTTCATTCCTTGAATATACGGTGTGCCTACTGTGTGCTCATGTGTGCTTGTTGTTGGGAACTCAGGGACATTTAATGTTTCTAGTGAGTGACACTTTGCATATTCCAAAGCTTTCTACAAAGGTCTTCATGCATATAAACCTTATTCTAGGTCGCTGCTCCCAAATTCAGAGGTGTTGGCCTCTGACTATAGGGGCAAGGTGAGGAAAGTACCTGACCACAAGGAAGCTGAAAACGCAACTCCCCACCTCTGGATACTGTGAGTTATATGTTCTTTCTCAAGGCTTCACAAGGCAATTTTGCCCCATCTCCCAGGCTACGGCATGGCCTCCAGGTAAAGATGTGCCAGATTCTGCTTTTGATCTGCCAACCATGTGGGTCAAATCAGTAACACGATTAAGGCCATTAGTAGGTATGTCCGTTATACCTCAATAAAGCTGAGGTTAAAAAAAAAAAAAAAGAGCCCCTCCTACCAAATAGCCCTAGTTCAGAAATGTACCAGCTCAGTTTCTGCTGTTTGTAAAGAAGCTTTACAGATTTAAAAAAGGGGGGTGGTGTGTGTGCCTGGGGGCGCTCAGTCAATTGAGCATCCAACTCTTGATTTCAGCTCAGGTCATGATCTCACGGTTCATGGGTTCAAGCATGCAGGTCTGCGTGGGTGGCTTGGATCCTGCTTGGGAGTCTCTCTCCTCTCTCTCTGCCCCTTCTCAGCTCATGGTCTCTCTCTCTCAAAATAAATGAATAAATACTTAAAAAAAAAAAAAGTTTCAGAGACTTTGACTCTGTCTAGATCTCTCATGTTCTGGCTCCAAGGAGCACTGATCAAAGATCTTTCCACAAAATCACTACCAGATGTTGGCCCTTCAGACAGCTGGAAAGACTCATCCTTAGCAAAGGAATGTCTCCTGGCAGGCGTCTCCATTACCTATCCCTTCTGAGTTCGCTTAAACGGAAAAAACAAAAACAAAACAAAACAACAACAACAAAGGAAGAAACAAACAAACAAGAACAAAGGAAGAGAAGATGGGTAGAAGGAGGAAAAACAGGACTTCAATTTTGCTTGTAATAAAAATGTAATTTCTTGGAATGTGACTCTTGTGTTCGTAAAAATGTTAACAGCTTTACTGAGTTATAATTTACACGCCATAAAATTCACCCATTATAAGCGTACAGTTTGATAATTTTTAGTAAGTTTATGCAGTTGTGCAACCATCCCCACATACCCTCACATTCCAGAGAACACCCATCACTCCAGAAATTTCACTCCAGTTTGGTTGCTGATTATTGTTATTTTATAACCTCTTTGTTTGGAGTCTCAGACAGTGAACTCAGTGGATACACCTATAATGGATGCTTTTTACATTCACTTTGTTTCTGCCCAGGGCAAGAATCCCTACTTTATGTCCCCTGAGATCTTTTGTAGGATACTGTTTCCCCTAATTTTCTTACCCTCCATTCATTTGAAAGGTCTTTAGTTCTCCACAGATGACAGGTTTACTTTTGATATTTACTCCGTGTGCTCATCGGCATTTAATGACATCTTTGGGGTGCAGCATTTTGGGCCCTTTGCAAAATAGTCTTCTAATCAGTACAACAAGCTTTTGGCTGAGGTTGAAAATGACAGGTACCCAGTTCAATTCCTGCTATGAAAGCATTTTCTGTGAATATAAGAATCACCAGTCATGAAATTAAAGGATAACTTTTTTTTTTCCCATGAGGAGGTATAGATTTATCTCACCCCTTTGAAAAGTGCTTATCTTTTTTTTTTTGAAAAAAAATTTTTACTTAATTTTTTTTTAACGTTTATTTATTTTTGAGACAGAGAGAGACAGAGCATGAACGGGGGAGGGTCAGAGAGAGAGGGAGACACAGAATCGGAAACAGGCTCCAGGCTCCGAGCTGTCAGCACAGAGCCCGACACGGGGCTCGAACTTGTGAACTGTGAGATCATGACCTGAGCTGGAGTCGGTCCGATGTTCAACCAACTGAGCCACTCAGGCGCCCCAAAGAGTGCTCATCTTAATATTGAGGATGGCAGGGCAGATTATGGTGCCGGAGGCACGTAGAACGACGAGCGTTGACAGAGATGCTGAGTCCCAAGCCCCAGACTGAGCCCTGTGCTCAGTTACTCATGAATCTGGGGCAGTGGACATTATGGTTGCCTCTCTACCACCCATTCTTCCCTTGTCCCATTTTGGCCCAGCCAGGGGCTTAGGATGGGACTGGCCACACCTGGGTCTGAGAGGGGGCCAGGACAGCTTTGGTCGTGGTTGGCATTTCCCACACCCGTAGCGACTGGTTCAGAGTTAGGTAACAAGGGCACAACTGACCCATTCGGAGTGTAACATTTTTATTTATGGATGGTAGGAAGGCACTTCATTCTCCCCTCATTCCCTGCCTCCCACTCTTTCTTCAAGTCAGGCGGGTCAGTAAAAGCCTTCGAGTATCGAACACAGCTTGGGTTGGACTTCGTTACTCGCGGCGTCGTAAGGGGTCCTTGAGGACACGCCTTACAGTAACACTGTAAGGGAAGTGTTATTATTATCTAAACTTCACAGACTGAAAAACTGAAGGTTGCGGAAGCTTGATTTGCTTGCAAATTGCTTGAACCCCCCGTGATTTTAGGGCCCACCTTACTTAGCGTCGCGCTATGGTACCTCTGTCGTCCTGTGTAAGCTGCCCCCATTTCCCTGCGCCCTGAATGACGCAGGATGGCATCACTAGATTGAAGCAACAGAACACAGAGAAGTCCAGATACGAAATATATCCCTTGAGCTTTCCATTCAAGCCCATGAATGTAAATGAACTGAGCAAAATATTGGAAATTGCCGGGAAAAGAAATTATTCCATTATAATGAAGAGACGGCTATTTTCAAGTCAAAGGGAGGAGGGACGCCGGGTCCGAGCGAGGGCACCCTGCACAGCTCGAACAGCCCAGGAGCCAGCAGGAAGTGCTCCCATTCCAGAAAGTGGTTCCTTCTGCACTCCGCACAGTACCAGTCCTGGTGCAGGTTTCAGCGCTTTCTGAAACCATTGGTGCTTCACGTGGAGGCACATTTGCTGGAAAGGACTTTCAGTCCAGGCAGAGTCCTTTTCCTGGCGTTTGGAAAGGAGTTCAAAGTCCAGCTCCAGAGGGGAGAGAGCCCGACTCCGAGGGCAAGGTTGAAATCTTCACCCTGGGGGAGGCGCTGCTAACCAGAAAAGGGACAAGGAGGCGGATTTGCATTTTGCCAAGAAGCCCCAAAGGAAACAGCATGGAGGCACAATGATGCTCAGCCTGGAAACCAGGAACTCTCTTGAAAGACAGAATGTTCACTCCAGCGTCTTCCTCTCCACCACAGTGGCTAGCAGCCTGAATGAAGCCACGCAGTCACTGGAAATAGGTCGGGAGTCTGCCCAGGAGCTCGTTACCGAAACAGTGTCATCTTTGACAACTCAGACCTCCACGCAGGGGGGGTTGGCCTGGGTCGGGAGCCTTGCCCTCAGAGGCCCAGTCTGAACTCTGCCTTTGTTCCCGTGGCTACGGCCAGACAAGCGTTGTCAGTGCTCCACCCACCTTCCTCCTGCATAGACACTTGTTTAAAGATTCAAACGTGAGTTATCATAAAAAAGAACCTTAGAAAACATATACAGATATATACATAGATACAGATGAGGATTAGTAGGCAAGACAGGCAACCTTGGGGCGCCTGGATGGCTCAGTCAGTTAAGCGTCGGCTCTTGATTTCAGCTCAGTTCATGATCCTAGGGTCGTGGGATCGAGCCCTGCACTGGGCTCCATGCCGAGGGTGGAGCCTTCTTGGGATTCTCTCTCTCTCTCCCCGTGCCCCTCCCCTGCTTGCATGCGTGTGCATGCTTTCGCAATTAAAAAAAAAGAAAAAAGAAAAAAGGCAATCTTGCTTTGTTTGCTCCAAGATGGGAAAAAGCTAAGAATTGCAAGTGGCTGGTTCTGCTTTATCATAATGTTTTGTATTAGGTGGGGGTGACTAGGATTTAATGTTCTAGGAGCTTTTGTAGATAAAGAAGAACATTATTCGGGGTGCCCGGGTGGCTCAGTCGGTTAAGCATCTGACTTCAGCTCGGGTCATGATCTTGCGGCCATGAGTTTGAGCCCCACGTCGGGCTCTGGGCTGATGGCTCAGAGCCTGGAGCCTGCTTCCGATTCTGTGTCTCCCTCTCTCTCTGACCCTCCCCCGTTCATGCTCTGTCTCTCTCTGTCTCAAAAATAAATAAACGTTAAAAAATAAATAAATAAATAAACATTATTCTTTCATTAATGTTAATTAAAAAAAAAAAGTTTCATTGCTATTCAACAAGCTTTAGAAATCCAGGAAGAAAGAAAGAAGGAAAGAAAGAAAGAAAGAAAGAAAGAAAGAAAGAAAGAAAGAAAGAAGAATGCACGTGCTCAGGTGTGCCAGGATACAAAACTGAAAATATCCATAACAGTATTGTTTATAACTGCCAAAATCTGGAAATATATGTTCATCAAGAATAAAATGGCTCAGGGGCGCCTGGGTGGCTCAGTCAGTTGGGCATTTGACTTCGGCTCAGGTCATGATCTTGCAGTTCGTGAGTTCGAGCCCCGCATCGGGCTCCATGCTGACAGCTCAGGGCCTGGAGCCTGCTTTGGATTCTGTGTCTCCCTCTCTCTCTGTTCCTCCCCTGCTTGCACTCTGTCTCTCTCGCTTTCTTTTCTTTTCTTTTTTTTTTTTTTAATTTTCTTTTAATGTTTTATTTATTTTTCAGACAGAGAGAGACAGAGCGTGAGGAGGGGAGGGGCAGAGAGACAGGGAGACACAGAATCCGAAGCAGGCTCCGGGCTCTGAGTGGTCAGCACAGAGCCCGACGTGGGGCTCAAACTCACGGACCGTGAGATCATGACCTGAGCTGAAGTCGGACGCTTAACTGACTGAGCCACCCAGGCGCCCCTCTCTCGCTTTCAAAACATAAATAAACATTAAAAAAAAAAAAAGAATAAAATGGCTCAGGGCACCTGGGTGGTTCAGTTGGTTAATCATCTGACTCTTGATTTTCAGCTCAGGTCACAATCTTACTGTTTATGAGTTTGAGGCCCGCGTCTGGCTCTGTCCTGACAGCTTAGAGCCTGAAGCCTGTTTCAGATTCTGTGTCTCCCTCTTTCTCTGCCCCTCCCCCACTCATGCTCGGTCTCTCTCTCTCTCTCTCTCTCTCTCTCAAAAATAAGCATTAAAAAATATAAAAAAAAAATTACAAATGTACCAGAGCACACCGAACGTCATCTTTGTACTTGGATTCAGAACCCATTTGATGCTGCAGGATAACTGGCTTCAGCATAATTTACAACTTCTTGGATTAGGCAAAACAAAAGAAATGAACCTGACCTTTGATTTTCCAAGACATGGCCTGTATGAGAAGAAAAAGATCTCTGGGAAGGAAAAACAACAAAAAAAAGAGGTTAGAGTGGGAGAGAGCCAAAGCATAAGAGACCCTTAAAAACTGAGAACAAACTGAGGGTTGATGGGGGGGGGGGGG